GGAGAAGGGGAAGAGGAGTGAAGTGAAGGGAGGAAGATATAGAACAGGGGATAGACGAACTTCACAGGTTCTCGGTACTCACCGGCAGAGCACGCTACTATGGAATGGCACAAGAGGGTACAGTCTTCACCCGAATAGAACGCCTGGTCATTATAGCTGCATCTGGTCTGAAAGTTGCCCCAAAAATACGGCTATAATGACTGGGACTTCTATTCCGGTGAAGACGGCAGTCAGTGTTCTGTTGCGGAGAAAAATGAGTTGAGGAGCAGGTGTTGCCCATGGTAAGTGGCCACCCCTGCAGACCGGACAGGGCCAGTTTAGGTGAGGACTGTGGAAGCACCGCAGCCAATTCTCACAGTTTAAGTTGCTGCATCGAATGGTGTGGCGTAGATGGATGTGCTTCCACACACACACACACACACACACACACACAGAATCACTGTTATACATATGTATTTCTTTTTTCTTTATTTTCGAGTACTTTTTGTATGTCTGCATGAGCACCTTTAAGAAGTACTAAATAGTTGATGGTTGGCGATTTGGAGTGCCTGCAGGACTCTTAGGGGGGATGCTCTGTATGTGATGTGCATAGTCTGTGGGTGGATGATAGATGTCCATCGTAGTACCTCCCTGGCTCAACGGGTGGTGGGAACCAACACTCCACGGGGTTCAATCATGATGTGAGTAGGTGATGTGCCGCTTTGCTTCGTGTTGGATGGGTGGACTGCCTCGTCTGCGCTCCGCCACTGCCTTGCTGCTCATCCCGCTTGCTTTGCATGTGGTTCTTTGTAAGCTGCTGTGTTGTCTGTGTGGTGTGGCTGCAATGTTGGTGTTGCCTTGTGCCTCGGTGCTCCGCTCCCTGCCGCCCATCCATGTGCCGTTCCTTCCGCATCCTTTGCTTGTGCGCCGTGTAGTTTCGCTGCCTTGTTGGTGTTGCCTTGTGCTTCACTGCGCGGTTGCCGTGCTGCTCCTCCGCTTGCCCAGTCTTTCCCTGCAGTTGTTTTTGGCGTTACGCAATTGTGTTGCCTCGGCAGCGTTGCCTGGTGCTTTGCTGAGTTGCTGCCCATTCCTATGTTCGACTTTGGGACAGTCTGCCTTCAACATGGCTCAAAGGGTTCCTGACTCAAACCATCAATATGGAGATTCCGCAAATTGTCGAGGGTTCAGCCTCCTGATGAGTCAGTGCAACTCTGACGAAACAATCTATCATCAGTTTTATTTTTTGAGTCCTTAGATTTTCCGGGACTTGTGCTTTTTTAGTTTGTCTGTTTGGTGTGCTTCTGTGGCGTCCGCTTGGCCTCTTTTGGTGTGCTTGTGTGTCATTTGCTTGGAATGCTTGTTTGTCATCTGATTGGTCTGATTGCTGTGCTGGTGTGTCATCTGCTTGGTGTGCTTGTGTGTCAATGCTTGGTATACCTGTGTGTCGTCTGGATGGATGGATGGATGGATGGATGGACGGATGGACGGATGGACGGATGGACGGTGGGATGCATTGATGGACGGATGGATGCGTAGATAGGTAGATAGACAGATAGATATATAGACAGGTGGATGGACGGACGGATAAATGGACGGATGGACGGATGGTCGGACGGAGGGACGGAGGGATGGATGGATGGACGGATGGATGGACGGATGGATTGGTAGATAAGTAGTTAGGCAGATAGATAGATAGACAGATAGATAGATAGACAGATAGATAGATAGATGGACATATAGATATGAAACAGTTTTCACCTTTGGCAGTAGCCGATGCAGATCCCAGGGGTCGATCC